ATATATATATTGCCTTCATTTCATCCTTGATAACTTACTGCCTACCCCGAAAGTCCCCCAACAATGAATGGTTCACTCTAGTGTTTGAAAGCAAAGCACAAGGTTGCCTACGTAGTCATAAAAACATGTAACTGGGTGTAGGTGGCTCATATCTGTAATCCTAGCCACAGGGGAGGCTGAGATGTGGGGATCACAGTTCAAAGCCAGCCCAGGCAGGAAAGTCAGCGAGACTCTTATCTCCAATTAACCACCAGAAAACTGGAAGTGGTGCTGTGATTCAAGTGGTAGAGTGCTAGCCTTGAGCTGAAAAGCTCAAGGACAGTGCCCAGGCCCAGAGTTCAAGCCCTACGACCGACACACACAAAAACCATGAAGTCCACAACCATCTATCAACCACGAGCACCTGCTAGTTCTGCTCCAGAACAAACTGAAGAGGAAGTCAATGTATTTACAAAGAAAATTTAATAATGTAAAGAAGAGTTTGCCCCCGAATATGAAAACACACATGGTTTCCTTTCAATAGGTGACACATTTAGTTCTTGAAAAATCCAGTGGGAAACTGGGAGTGGTCAGGCAGGTCTGTTATTCGGCACTAGCGAGGCAGAGGCAGAAGGCCTGCAAGTTCTAGGCCAGCCTGGGATACACAGGGAAATGAAAACAAACGCAGAGTCCAGCAGGCAGGGAGCAGTGCTCCGAGTCTACCTGGGATTGTCCACAGCTATTGGGCACCTGCTGTCCAGGAGATCCTGTTTTGGGGAATGTGCCATTGGTGCATACATATATACACTCCCTTATGCTTTGGGCGTGTGCACAGGACGCACATATGTATATCCCCCTTTATGTTTCGGGTGTGTGACAGGGTGCACACACACACACATACATACACACCCTTAATGCTTTGGGTGTGTGCACACAGGTGCAGTGCAATGCAAGCTTCGCTTCACATGTCAGTACCTCCTGTTCATCTTCTTGAACTTCTCATAGTGGTAGTCATCCGTGGCCTTCTCGTTGGCAGGGCGCTTCCGGTTCGGAGGGGACCCTGAGGAGAGCAGAGAGGCCACTGCTGCCCTGGAATTGGCCAGGAGACCACATTCTCCCCAGAGCCCGGAAGGAAGCGCAGGAAGGTGTCAGGAAAGAACTCTGTATGAGCACCTTTCAACTGGCCTGTGCTGTTTCTACCATGCTCAATAAGTAAGTGCAGAGGAAAGCTCTGTTACCACCCCATTTTATAGATGAGGAAATCGAGGTTTGGAAAGAAGACATGGGATCCTAGTCTACATCATCAACCGGAACCCAGATGCCCAGCCCCCAAAACTAGGTTCCACCCCTGCCCAGCTCCAACCCGCCTCATAGCCCCCCAAGGCTGTCCGGCCCAACAGCTGCTCTTACGCTCAGGCTCTGGCTTCTCCGTGTCCCCCACGCGCAAGGGCCGCGCTTTGGGCTCTTCTTTGTTTCTTCGTATGGGAGCGTTGAGCTCCTCATGATAAACTGGACAAAGAGAGCAGGGGGCACATCAGAGAGAGTGGAAGGTCAGCCCCTCCCCCGGGCGCGGCGGCCTCCCCCGGGCGCTTACACCTGTTGTGCTGCACATAATTCACAGCCATGTTGGTGGGCACGAAGGACGTCTCACTGTCCTTCTTCTTGTCCTGCTGCTCTGCCAGCAGGCGGGCCTTGGCGTCCTCCGTGGAAATGATGTTTTTGATTTTAGCGCTGCCAGAAGGAACCACAACCCAGGTTAGCTCACTGCGGCTTTGCTATGCAGATGGGCTGACCAGGGAGCCTAGATACCTGCTTTAGGAAACACTGATCTGTCCTAGGATACAGCTCACTCCTAAACTTCTTTACGCCCTCTTCCCCCCTCCACCCCCCCCCCGCTTTTTTCCTCTTGAACCTATGATCGTCCAGCCACAGGCTCCTGAGAGCTGAGGTGACAGGTGTGTGCCACCATGCCAAGCCCCCTGGTCACATTCTTTTTCTTTTTGGTCAGTTGTGGGGCTTGAACTTAGGGCCTGGACACTGCCCCTGAGGCTCTTTATGCTCAAGGCAAGCTCTCTACCACCTGAGTCAAAGTGCCACTCCTATGGTCACATTCTTTTTTTGTTGTTGGTTGTGGGGCTTGAACTCTGGGCCTGGGCGCTGTCCCTCAGCTCTTCAGCTCAAGGCGAGTGCTCTACCACTTGAGCTACAGCGCCACTTCCGGTTTTCTAGTGGTTTATTAAAGAGTCTCATGGACTTTCCTGCCCAGGCTGGCTTTGAACCATGATCCTCAAATCTCAACCTCCTGAGTAGCTAGGATTACAGTCACATTCTTATGGCTAGCTCATAGCTTTGGCAGGACAAGACTTGTTCTCTTTGCATTAAGAAGAAATCCAGCCTGGGAGTGTAACTCAGTAGATCACTTGACTAGAATGTGAGGCCCTGAGTTCAATCCCCAGAAATCGGATCGCCCAAGGCTCCAGGCTAGTTATACCAAAAAGGAGGCAAGAACCCAGAAGTGTCTGGATTTCTCTGGACACAGCGATGGCTCAAGCCCTTAAAGCAGGGGTAGCTAAGGTGAAAGGAGGCCATGGGGTGTGTGTGTGTGGGGGGGGGGAATTGGAGCAGGGCCTCTTCCAGGCTCTGCCAGGATAACAGTGAGGGAGGGGCCTCGTCAGAACCATTCAGCAGCTGTGCTCAGCTCAGGGCACTTCTACTCCTGCTCTTAGTGTTTAGGTCCCTGAGGGGTCAACTACTAGACCAAGCCTCCTAGCAACAACCTGCTAGAAGGAATCCAATTCACATCAGTAGGTTTCTCAAGAATACAGGTAAGAGACAGTCTTCATCGTGTGTGTGTGTGTGTAACTGGGGATGGGAAACAGGGCCTTTCAAGGTGCTGTACCACTGAGCCATAACCCAGCCCAGCCCAGTTCCCCATGGCCTTCCCCACCCCTCCCCTCGGTTATGGGGCTTGCTCAGGGTTTGGTAACTGTCCCTAAGCTTTTTTGAGCATTCTACCACAGCACCACTTCCTGTTTCTGGTGGCTCATTAGCAATAAGAGCCTCGAGGACTTTCCTGCCTACGCTGGCTTTTAACTTCCATCCCTCGATCTCAGCCTCCTGAGTAGGATTAGAGGCTTGCTGTGTGTTTGTTTGATTTGTTTTGGTGCTGGTGCTATACCTTTCGAATGACACCTCTACTTTTCTGGTGGTTAAGTGGAGATAGCAGTCTCTTACATTTGTCTGCCTAGGCTGGCTTCAAACCATAATCCTCAGATCTCAGCCTCCTGGGACTGAGAAGTCAGGATGACAGGTGTCAGTCACCCCTGCCTGGCCCCATAGTTAAAACTGAGAAGCAGGGAGGGCAGAGGGCCAGGTAGCGCAGTGGCGCGTACTCGATGCCCAGGTCCACCTCAGGGATGCCGCTGAGCATCTGGTTGGACAGCATCTCCTCCGTCTTCTTGGCTGAGGAGACTCGGATGTTCTCTGGAAGCTCATAGAGGCAGTCCTCGGCATTCTTCGGCTTTACTTTCTGTTCCTCATGCTCCACGATCCCTTTCCTCTTCTTCAGCTCTGTCTCGATGTATTTCATCCTGACAAGAGAAAGCCCAGGCTCAGCGAGGGCAGGAAGCCCCTGCAGGCACCTTGGAGTCAGCTCCCAGCACTGGCCCACTGGCCTGCGATGGCTCATGAGGGAATTTTCATTAGTCCATGGAGAATGAGAAAATAAAAGTAATGGGTTTATTTTGTTGTGGCTTTGGTTTTTGAGACAGGTAGTCTATGCTAGTATTAAACTCAGATCCTCGTGCCTAAGCTTCCTGAGTGCTGGGATTTGCCCAACTTAATTTTTTTTTATTTGGTCATGGGGCTTGAGTTCTGGGCCTGGGCACTGTCCCTGAGCTCTTCAGCTCAAGGTAAGCACTCTACCACTTGAGCCACAGCGCCACTTTCAGTTTTCTGGTGGTTAATTGGAGGTAAGAGTCTCACAGCCTTTCTTGCCCAGGCTGGCTTTGAACCATAATCCTCTCAGTTCTCAGTCTCCTGAGTAGCTAGGATTACAGGTGTGAGCCATGGGTGCCCAGCTTTAAGTTTTTGTCAAATTACTAATTTTCAACTTAAAAGTACCCAACACAGAAGGTTATGCCCTACTAATCTACTAGCATGGTGAAATGTAAGGTTCTTTTTTTTTTTTTGGGGGGGGGTCCAGTCATGGGGCCTGAACTCGGGGCCTGGGTGCTGTCCCTCAGCTCTACCACTTGAGCCACTTGAGCCACAGTGCCACTTCCAACTTTTTTCTTTTTGCTTATGTGGTGCTGAGGAATCGAACTCAGGGCCTCAGGCATGCAAAGCAAGTGCTCTACCACTGAGCCACCTTCCCAGCCCCAATGTAAGATTCTTTGAAGTAAAAAAGATGGTAGTTCCCTCTCTTGGTCCCCCCTCTCTTTAAGTCTTTCCAGGGTGTCACTACACAGCCCTGGCTGGCCTCAAATTCCTAGTTCTCTTGTCTCAGCCTCTTGAGTGCAGGGGTTACAGGTATACACAATCACACCTGTTTTCTAAAAGGTCTTATTGGAAGACCTGAGGGGTTAAGTCCATGTGTATCCCTGAAATGATTTGGGGAAATGTCATTCATCTTGATCAAGATCAAAGGGCTGGGCTGTGGCTCAAGGTGGGGCAATTTGCCTACCAGGTACAAGGCCTTGAGTTCAATCTTCTCATAAAAAAAAGAAATTCAAACCCCCAAACCACCATTTTCAAGGACTTTTAAGAGGTTTTCAAATTTCTCAGGTCTGAGAGGCAGTGAGGGGGTGGAGGTCAGCTTGTACATCTCCCAGAAGACCCCAGGAGAGTCATGTGACAAGAGATCCTCCTATGTGGACTAGAGCCCAGCCCCTCAAACTGGCTGACTTACATGTCTGCGTCCTCGTCCCTCCGGTTGGTCTCAGCAGAAAATGACGTCCCCAAGTGTAGGTCCTCCTCTTCGCTGACCCTGTAAGGAGAGGGTAGTGAAGCAAGGCTGCCAGGCTGCAGCTTCAAGGAAGCCAGATACAAGGGATCTCACATCCCGTTCAAGACTGTGAGTAGAAAAACTCTAGGAATAAAAGTATCTAAACTGTTGGCCTCTGGCAATGCCTCTGCTGAATGAGGGGTTATATTTCTTTGGTAAACTCTAAAGTATTTGGCTGAATTAGTATTAATATTGTTGTTGTTGGTCGTGGGGCTTGAACTCTGGGGCTGGGCGCTGTCCCTGCACTCTTCAGCTCAAGGCAAGTGCTTGAGCCACAGAGGCACTTCCAGTTTTCTAGTGGTTTATTGGAGATAAGAGTCTCACGGACTTTCCTACCCAGGCTGTCTTTGAACCATGAACCTCAGCTCTCAGCCCCCTGAGTAGCTAGGATTACAAGCGTGAGCCACCTGCGCCTGCTGAATTCTTTTTGTTATTGATTTTATATGAAACTTCCCCATTGGCCAGAAAGAGTAGGCAGAGTACAAAAGGCATCTCTCACTCAGCCGAGTGAGCTCTCGGTCCTTGCTTCCTTTCTTTCTTCTTTTCTTTTTTTTAATAGGTTTTGTTTTGTTTTTGTGCCCATACTGGGGCTTGAACTCAGTGCCTGGTTACTGTCCCTTACCTTTTTTGTTCAAGACTGACACTCTACCATTTTAGCCACAGCTCTGATTCTATCTTTTCTGCTGGTTAATTGGAGGTAAAGAGTCTTTCAGATCTGTCTATTTGGGCTGGCTTTGAAACTCAATCCTCAGATCTCAGCCTCCTGAATAGCTAGATTACAGATGTGACCCACCAGCGTCTTGATTCAACAGTCTGTTTTTGAGAATGAAAGTTGAAGTCTTTAAGTTGAGTACTCATAGCTCATGTCTGTAATCCTAGCTACTATGGAGGCTGAGATCTGAGGATCACAGTTCAAAGCCAGCCTATGCAGGAAAATCCATGAGCCTCTTATGTCCAATTAACCACCAAAAAGCTGCAAGGGGAGCTATGGTACAAGTGCTAGAGTGCTAGCGTTGAGCAAAAAACAAAACAAAAGAAAAATGCACACAAACTCAGGGACTGCACCCACGCTCTGAGTTCAAGGCCTATTACTGGCACAAATAAAATAAAATAAAATAAAATATTGAAGCCTTAGAATAATCCACAAGCTTCATGGAAGCATTAGTACCATTCCAAAATACTAAGCCATTTGGAAATCAAAGTCTTTGAAAGAAAATAGGAACGGGGCTGGGAAGGTGGCTCAGTGGTAGAGCACTTGCCTTGCATGCTCAAGGCCCTGGGTTCGATTCCTCAGCACCACATAAGCAAAAAGAAAAAAAGCCGGAAATGGTGCTGTGGCTCAAGTGGTAGAGCGCTA